ATTAACAAAATCAGCCCTCCTGACAAACTGGGAATATCCCCAACAGGCACAGTTTAAGATACTCCACACCTTTCCTCAGCAGTTTCTTCTTTGAGAAAAATAAGTGGCTCACGTAAATGTAAACTAAGCTTTAATAATAAAGAAAACTGTGACAAAATCACATAATGAGGGAAACTAAATACAGCAACATGAGTCAAGTCTGAAGCAAGAAATAAGAAGAGGCAGTTGGTCCCTCTTAACTGAAATTTAATGGAAAACCCAGAAGGGAGGGGCTGATTCCGGAGCATAAGACACAAGCCCCACCCACCAGATACCAAACATTCTACAGATCAAATTAGACCCCAATATTTTTCTTACAATTTCTCCATTGTGTTAATGGAATTAACCTCATTCTGAGGGAAAGAGCTGGTCAGAAATTTGGTAGCTGAAGGATAAAATTTAAAGCAAGAAATGTTCCCAGAAAATAATGAAGGCTACAGTTCTATAACCATTTACTGTACGTGAGACTAAGCCCCATTTAACGGGACTTACTTCTAAGCAGACGTGTTTAGGATTATGGTGTAATTCTTCCTGGAAAGTACAAAAGCTATTTTTATTTTTACTATAGGAAGTTTACTTTAAACAACGTATTTCTTCCCGGAACACTGTGCTTTTAAACAGGAGCAGAAATAAGCTCCTGTCAGAATTCTATATGGCCCCATTCCCTCAAATGAAAGCCACCCTTTTGAAAAGCAGCCTTATATGTCCCAGCCGTCAACTGCATTTAAAGACATCTGGTGTGAAAGGCAACAAAATTACTAGCCAGTTTCACGAGTGCTTCTTCCTTCTTCCACCCCACCCCCTCCCCCACTCCCACATAAACAGTGACCTTATAATAATCATTTTAACGCTATCCCTCCCATTTCTAATTGTGGCTCCTCAATGTGACAAGCCAAGAAGCGCATCCGAAGATGTGCTGTGCCGAAGCAGCGGCTCACATCAGATCGGGGGTAAAGTGAGAAGCAGCAGCAGTACCAGAGGGAAATCGCATCCCTTTTTCCCTGCCACATGGATGCAACCTCCACATTTCTCTCCTTGCCCCCGCCACCCCTCGCAATTTCAGGGCAGGAAAGGGCTAGCAGTACTAAATCCCAAGGGTTGCTCATTTCAGCTTTGTCTCCCGTGAAGAGAGCAAGACATCGGCTTCGTTGCTACTAATCCTTTCCTCTCCCCCCCCCCCACTCCCCAGAAAACAGTTAATTAGATGACGCAAGCATCTGAAATTGCCGGTAACGAGAAAAAGAAAGCGGCAGATTCTGGGTAAGAAAACTTGCTAAGGATAGTCCAACACTATCAACCTGTTTGGCCAATCTGACTCTGACTAACAGCCCTGCAGCTCCATGTCTGGCTGGTGGTTTCAAACCAATAGGTGAGATTTTATTTATTAGTTAAATTTATATCTCAGGGCGGTTCACAGAGACTGAGCCTGCTCACATGCCCATCTCACCCACTCCCAGACTCCTCTCCTGACTCGCTACTCATTCCCTTGGCACGATGGGCAGGACGTACCACTGTGACCCGCTCTGCTTTGCTCATGTTCACTGGATGGGTGTAGGTTCATCTGAACCAAATGGGGTGGGGAGATAAGACAGCGTTTCTTTCTGGAGCTAGCTGAAGCCAGGAATATGGCTTGGGACAGACTGCACAAATGGGCCCTCTGCAACTCAGCTGCATCTTTTTAGAGGTCTTCCAGAGGCACTGTTTTGCTTATATAAAGGTAAAGGGACCCCTGACCATTAGGTCCAGTCGTGACCGACTCTGGGGTTGCAGCGCTCATCTCGCTTTATTGGCTGAGGGAGCTGGCGTACAGCTTCCAGGTCATGTGGCCAGCATGACTAAGCTGCTTCTGGCGAACCGGAGCAGCACACGGAAACGCCGTTTACCTTCCCGCCAGAGTGGTACCTATTGATCTACTTGCACATTGACGTGCTTTCGAACTGCTAGGTTGGCAGGAGCAGGGACTGAGCAACCGGAGCTCACCCCGTCGCAGGGATTCGAACCGTCAACCTTCTGATCAGCAAGTCCTAGGCTCTGTGGTTTAACCCACAGCACCACCCGCGCTTATATATTTGTCAACAAAACCCAATGCCAGAAAGCGATTGCGGTCGTCACTCATTCCAAGGGATCTGAAGCTGGTAGGATTGCCACTCTCACATCTCACTAGCCAGGGAAGTGGAAAAGAGATAAAAACACTACGATTTGAAGGGTGAAACCTCCCTCTTTTCCTCCCTGATAGAAGGGGCATTGGTGTCATGCCTACCTTTTAAGATTGCTGGGAAGACACTCGATTTGACATGCGGTGCAATGAACATGTGCTCATTTAGTGGCATGAGTACAAGGAATACATATGTCAGCAAAGAGATGGGAGGAGGATGAATGCAGATAGAAAAGGCATCAGGCCCACCAGCTGTGGCCTGAACTTTCTTCAGGAGATTGAGACTTCTTCCTTGGCGAGCTGTAACAAGCGGCGCTTCGTAATCAACTCCTTTGAGGACAAGCGACGAATGAGTCAGAGCTCTGAGGTTACACAAGCCTCGCAAAGTGGGGGGGGGGGGGAGAGATGGCTGCCTCCAGCAACGAGAAGAAAGCTTTCATTTAAAACCCCAGCAGGAGTGTCTTTTGTGACTTGTTCGGTTTGTAAGAATAATTCGGGAGCTTTTATCAAAATAAAAAGAAACCGCCACACAGTTAAACATGTTCTCTTGCTGAGTGAAAATAATTAAAGCTGGACCCAAAAATAGCGCAGAAAGGCAGGGTTTAGGCCAAGCAGAGGACGCCCTCACAATGTCTCTTCAGTTTTCGTATTAGACTCGTAAAAGAAAGGGCGGGAGTGAAAATAGCCCTGGAAATATTTTTTACTTGGCCTCTTTCAATCTTAGCGAGTGGATTTTGGTGCTGGTTGTGCTACACACAAGTATCTCAAGCATAAACCCTGTTGCACTGTTTCCCACGTGAATGGAGTGTAGTTTTAACCACCTAGGACCCCACTGTGATGCCTGAAGCAAAGAACAAGATGGCGTCCCAGTTCCACATACAGAAGCAATGGCACTGACAGCTAAATCTTACTTTGATCTTGGAAATGGTGTTGCGTTCCTCCGTACCTGACGGCAAGGCTAGCTTAGGGGATGCAGCTCTGTCTTCCAACACCCTGTGGCAGCTCCCCAGTGCCCATCATCTGATGCCTGATGCAGCTGCCTCACTTTGCCTCATGGTAGGACCGGCCCTGACCATAAGAGCTGTGATGCCTCTGCTGAACCCGGAGTGTGTTGCCCCAATACACACCAAAGAAAAGAACTCTTCCATTTGTTGGAACTGTTCTTGGCACTCCATTTGTCTCCCTTATTATACAGTTCGGCACAGGATGAGGAAGCAATTCGTTTTGCTTGCTTCGGTGCACACACACATATTGCAGCCACAGAGATGTCCCAGCCACAGTGATGCTGATCTTGCCTGGCTAGTTGGCTGCCTTGACCCATGGCCTTCTTCCAATGCATCGCAGGCAGTTGCAGTGGGAAAGGCCCTTTCACCAAGCGACTGGGCAAAAGACAGCACTCCAGCAAGCCTCGCACATGCACATGCATTCCTCTGCTCATGTGCCACGCATTGGCCCTGAAGCATTTGCGTAAGCGGGAAGCGAGCAGGCACCAGGTGCAGCAGGGAGCAAGTTGCACCGAGGTGTTGGAGGGCAGAGCGGTGTGTGCCTGCCGTACACTTCCTAAGCTCACCTGTAGCCCTCAGGTGTGGTGGTAGAGGTTGTCTCATCACCAGCCTTGAGGCTGAAGATTCAGTTGTCCATCTGGTTGGCTCCTGTACATGGAGTGGGCAGGAGAGCACTATCTTAGGCAGAGAAATGTTTTCTGCCAGCCCCTTAAATTGGACTAAACATCACTGCAGCAGTGTGAGAAGAAGACAAAGGGGAGTGCAGCTCGCACATCTCTGCAGCAAAACACAGAGGGTTTCCTATTTATGGCTGCCATATCAAAATCTCTCCAAAGGAGGCAAGGAGGAGGAATGGTGGGCTTTGCAAAACATAGCCACTGGAGTTTTGCAAATACAAGATGATCCTTTAAAGCCAGGAACAATATTTTTAAAATGCGAACATCTGGCATCCTTAGCCTCAGGAGTCTATTTTCAAGCACAGGATTCTTATCATCATTCATCTTTGTAAACTTTTTGGAATCACTTCTTTTGGATCATGAAGGCAAATGCTCAGCTATGGCCAAGAATATTCCTATGCAAGTAAGCAGGAGAGTTATCTCTGAAACTACTTTCAGTTGCCCCAGCAGTTGGAATCACTCCAGTTTCTTCATAGCTCCTGAACAATGTATCTGACAATAAGGAATGTGCATATTCCAATGCCTCTGGGATTGGGGCACCCTGATTTTTTAAAAGGAGGAAATAGCGAGGACCATTAGGTAATAATTTTGACTCAGTAATAATACTCATAATTATGCGCTGAATTATGGCATTAAATATTTTAAAACCAAATCTGAAAAAACAGGGTATGTGTTTTTGTACTGAAAACACAAGGAGATCTGTATCTAAAAGGTGCTATACAATCAAATTACTTGCTAGTGACCTGAGGAGTTATGACATAAAAGGAAACCAATTTTCTGTGAGTCCCAGTTTTCTATCTGTAAAATGGATGACCTGTTTTCCCAGGGTTAGGCTCCTGCTGACTGACTTTCCAAATCAGAGGTTGGAATTTACCTTAAGTTCCAAAGAACAATTTCTGGTACTCAGTACCATAGTAAAAAAAACAACCAAAAAATCCTATTGGCTCAGTTGGCTTGAGTCTATTTCCCCCCTCAAACTTCCTGTAGATTCTTTCGTACATTGGCGGTCACATGTCCCTCCCGTGACACCATGGCAATGTCCGTGGAGGACTGGTGTCACATGATAACATCCTTGGACACTGCCACACCAAGTCTTCAGAATGAGCCAGGAGTTCCTCATGCCCCCTATGCAGACCTTTCTAAGTACTTGCCAATTAGTAAAGGAGCATCAGCCTCTCAGCTAGATTCAATGGCACGCGTTCCTAATATTTAAAGTTCATCATGGCAGTGTTTATTATAATTCAACACATAATTCAGTCCAGTTGCAATGGAAAAGCAGAACATGTAATGCTTGACGTCATCGTTTACCCTCTTGGGAGCTGAATTTATTGACTAGAAAAGAAAAGAAAACCAGCACAGGAATACATACTTCAGGACAAACAATCTACTTTGCAGAATCCTCTAGTATTATCACAACAACCGAAGGCCTTCCCACCTTGAGGTATTTGCTTAGTTCACTACTGGGATTTTTTAAATAAGGATCACTTTGCTATACTCTCTGAGATTTCTTGACTGCTGGCTCTATTACTGTTATCTAACTCTGCCACTGCCTGGGGGGCATTTAGCTACCCACTTAAACTTTGGGGAAATTATTTTACCCAATATTAGTTTATCATCTTTTTCAATAATGGCTATCTAGGATGAAACGGAGGGAGCTGAGAAGAAGCCAGTGGCTGAGATATCCCCCACCCTCCAACATCCCCGCGATGCCAGGTTCATTTCAAGATGTAATCAGATTTGGAAGAAGTCCCCAAAGAGTTTTCACACGGCTGCTCATAATTAAAGAGGGAATGTGATCTCGGTGGCAGCTCTTGATGTGGTTGGCAGGCAGGCAAGCGGCCTCCAGAATTCATTGCATCCTCAAGAGGCTGGCGGTTCTGTCTGTCGTCACGGATTTTCTTGGCCAGGGCCCAGGGCAGATGAATGCCTCACACTGTTTAATGCTGCAGTGAGAAGGGTGGGGAATGGAAGGTTTTTGCAGTGAAGGCTGGGGTGTGTGTGTGTGTGGAATGGCTAAGAGAAGCAAAAACAAAGTAGGTTGAAGAGCATCATCTCATTTTTAAAAAAACAACAACACAAAGCGACATAGAAGGCTGCCTTGTACTGAGTTAGACCATTGGTCCATCTAGCTCAGTAGTGTTTACATGGAATGGCAATGGCTCTCCAGGAATGACTGACTGACTGATTGATTGATTGATTGATTGATTATTATTCATTTTATTATTCATTTATTGAATTCATATACCACCCTATACCCGGAGGTCTCAGGGCGATTCATAGAAAAGATAAACATAAAAACTACAATATATACAGTGATACCTTGGTTCCCGAACGGCTTAGCTATCAAACAAATAGGCTCCCAAATGCCGCAAACCCAGAAGTGAGTGTTCCGATTTGTGAACGTTTTTCGAAAGCTGGGTGTCTGACGCAGTTTCTGCGGCTTTGGACTGAGTGCAGGAAGCTCCTGCAGCCAATCATCAGCCGTGTCTTGGTTTTCGAATGGTTTCGGGAGTCCAATGGACTCCCAGAAAGGATTAAGTTTGAGAACCAAGGTGCCACTGTAATCAAAATAAAAACAACAACCCAATAACACACACTCCCAAAAAAGAAACATACAGTGGTACCTCGGGTTACATATGCTTCAGGTTACAGACTCCACTAACCCAGAAATATTACCTCGGGTTAAGAACTTTGCTTCAAGATGAGAACAGAAATCGTGATCCGGCGGCGCGGTAGCAGCAGGAGGCCTCATTAGCTAAAGTGGTACTTCAGGTTAAGAACTGTTTTAGGTTAAGAACAGACCTCCAGAACTAATTAAGTTCTTAACCCGAGGTACCACTGTATTATAAAAAGGGCATAAGATGTCAATCAGATCAACCAAAGGCCTGTTTAAAAAGGACTGATTGCATTTCTATTGCACTTGTTTTTTACAAGGTGCTCAAAGTGGCCTATATGGTTCTCCCCTTCCTCATTTAATTCCCACAACAACCCTACGAGGTAAGATGGGCTGAGAGGCAGTGGCTGGCCACAAGATCGCCCAGTGAGCTTCATAGCTGAATGGGGATTTGAACCCTGGTCTCCCAGGTCCTAGTCCATCACTCTAACTGCTACACCACACTGGTTCTCAGGGTTTAGAGAGGCGGGGTTTTCTCCAGTCCTACCAGGAGATGCTGAGGATTGAACCCAGGAGCTTCTTACATGCAACATTGATGCTTTGCCACTGAGCTATGGCCCTTCCTCAAACTTTCAATTTCTGTTTTGTGAGGATATCAAGCCACACACTGTCTTAGCAGCTCCCCCAAAGAAAGCCAGAACATTGCTTCAGAGGGGAGGAGGAGAGAGGACAAAGGTCACTTGACTGGTCCCTAGGAGCTTTCAGCCACACCAAGAGGACTTTCAGATACCTCTCCTTCCCCATTAGCTATCTCCACAGATAGCCTTGCCAGTGTCATATCACCCACACATTCACATGATAAAAAGTCTCAGGAGACTTCAGATTCAGGCTGTGTACATACTCTACATTTAAAGCGCTTCCAAAGCACATCCCCCCCCCCCTCAGAGAATTCTGGCCACCGTGGTTTACGCCTCACAGAGCTTCAATTCCCAGAAACCCTTAACAAACTACAGTGCCCAGAATTCTCTGAGGGGAAAGAATGTGCTTTGGATGTGATTTAAAGGTATAGTGTGTCCTTGTCCTCAGACTCTCGTGTTTTCACTTCCCCGTCCCTGGGTGATCTCCTGCAGGGTGGGCACAAGTTCTTGGCAGTGATGGCTGGTGTCCACTGCAATTGCAGAAGACAACAGCAGGCAGACTGTAGACAGAGACAGAGCAAATGGTTAACTTGTGACCAGAGAGATGCCTGAGGCTCCATGTTGCTGTGACAAAGAAGCTGCTGCTATCCCATTTTATCGAAAATGCTGCCCCCCACCTCCCCAGGAACGCTTCTAAAGAACCATTTTCAATTGCTCTTCCGCAAATACAATACAAATCCCTCAAGGAATGTTATTCACACCAAGTAAAGGCCTCTTCAGCAACTGTAAATTGCCCAGGGGAAAACTCACTCCTGCTATCGCAATCATCTCATCTTCTAATTGGTAATTGACTTTCTCACCAGTCATTTTAATCCAGGGCTGTCTGATGTTTGCTGGAGATCAGCAGCTGCTCTTTACCCCACCAGATATTCAAGAAGGCACTCCAAAGCTAGCTGGGATGTGTGACTAGAACACCCTCTCTGAGGATGCTACTAATTGCATGGACTTCGTTTTTCAGTGTTTCAGTGTTTCAACCAAGACTTTTGAAAGTTGCTTAGTGGGCTCAGATGTACCTGTGGATTACAATAACCCATATTTAGTGTGTGCAAACCTCAGGTTGCCCCCACTGGACAACATAAAATCAAAGGCAATTGTGTGGTAGCAGAACACATGTTTTGCACAAAAAAGTTCTGCAGACTCTCCAAGTGCCCCTATTTTCCAGGGACAGTCCCCGATTTACAGAAGCCATCCTGGTTTTTTATTTGATCGCGGAATGTCCCCCTTTTCTGTAGGACATCTCTATTTTCATCGGAAAAATGCTGGAGGGTATGGAGTTATCCCACCCCTAGCCATCCGAAGGCAACCCTGTATAGGGAAGTTTTTTTAATGTTAAATGTTTTTATGTGAGTTGGAAGCTGCCCAGAATGATGATGATGATATTGTTGTTGTTGTTGTTATTTAGGACAACCCTATTTTCATTGGAGAAATGTTGGAGGGTATGGGGCTGATGTTCAGGGTGTGGCATAGAAGCCAACCCCTGGGGGCTGAGGGGTCTTTTGCCCCCAATAAAGTATTTTAGGGGGCCAGGACCCCCAAAGTTGATGGGCATTGCAATTCAAGTGGTGTTCGTGCACTGCGTCATGTGACTGATTACGCGGGGCAGGGCTTATCTGCCCCCTCCCCGAATATTTTATTCAAGTTGGCATGTGGTATGTGGAATCTTCTGCTAAAGAATCTCATATCCGAAGACTGAGCAAAGCCAGTGGATCAGTCAGACCAATGGTCTAACTCCATATAACAACACCTAATATTCTTATGTGCGTGCGGCTACCCCACTGTAGGAACTGTTGGGCTCATGACCTCAAAAAGCTCGCGAAATAGGTATACATTTTACAGATCCTGCCCCTTCATTGTTTAAATTGGACATTTATCCCTAGCAGTGACTCTGCAGAAGGTTCTGAAGAAATAGCCACCAGGTGCTTCAAATCAAGCTTAGGTTTAACCCTTATATCAGACGCTTAGCAATTTCCCTAGCCTAGAACCGCAAGATGCTCTCCTCAATTGTCTGGAGGTCAATGTCAAGTGGTATAAATGGAGATGGTAGGTTTGAGTCTGGGTGGATCTGAGTCGAGGACTCAGAAGGGAGCAGAAGATTGAGGAAAGAAGCTTCTGCCCAGATCACTGCAATGTTTTGAGCCAGCTCTATTTGTTGAAAAGTAGGGATGAGCTCAAGCTAAAAGCGGTGAACTGCACACTCTGACGGGTTCATCTTGAAAAATGAATTCTGCAGCTTGTTCGTATCAGTGCATATTTGTAATCCTTTAACTGCATTAAAAAAGCAAGGTTACTAGAATTTTTCTGGGACAATTTCGTAAGTGTCTCCGCAAAACTGTCCGAGTAAGCAGAATAACAATGGTGAGGAGGGGAAAGTTTGTCTTCCAAACATATTCATGCAGCTGATAACAGCAGAAAATAAACGAAAGCTTCAAAAGCAGAAACCTGAATAGCTGAGTGGTGCAGTTTTCAACTATGACCTCAAGAATATTGAAGAACTTAGGGTCGTGGTACAATCTGGTACAGTTCTAGGACTGTGGCTGAATCCCACCATGAAACTTGTCTCCAGGGACATGCTATCATGGACATAGAGATATCTATCTTGGCCAGATCTCTGTATTTGCACACTGATAACGACCCTTGGATAGCATTATCCAGACTTGGACAAGATCAAGTTCATCCCATTTAAGGAAAGTGTGTCAGTGCCAAGGGCAGGAGTGCCATCTAGGGGGGCCAGAATTCACCGGAACTCAGTTCCAGCACCTCTCAGGTGGGTTCCAGCACCTTTGGGTGAGCTCCATTGCCATTCTAAGAGAACAAGGGAGGCATTCATGGTGAGTCATAGTGTTGGAAAGGACCAAAGGGACATTTAGTCCAAATCCTGTTTTGCTTTGGGGCAGGGTCCATACTATGTACCACACAGTTTAGGCAACTTGAAAGCATATAACTTCCCCCAAAGAATCCCAGGAACCATACCTTGTCAAAAGTGCTTTCAACAGTACCTTTGTGAGAAACAAACCACAGTTCCCAGAATTCTTTGCTCTCCCTCATTTTTTTGGTCCAGATTTCCCCCCCCCCCCCGCCCTTTCTTTCAGCAGCTGTCCAGCGATTGCCAGGTCTGTCAAGGCAGATCCGGATAAAGATCTGGCCTGTGTAGCTAACAAGCTTCTCCCGTTCTGTGAATGAGCAGGCTACCCTTCCCATTTTGAAATAAATTTTATTTTATTAATAAAGTAAACCGAAGATAAAGAGCATAAAGAAATACTGTTGTAGCAGACTGAAAGAAGCATAAGGACAGACATTGTCATTGAACTTGTTCCGAAACATTACAAAAAATACCCACATCCCCCCATAAACCTGTTAGGCTGCTTTATATGTATTCTTATATAATGTTGGGATGAGGGTGGTGCAGTGGGTTAAACCACAGAGCCTAGGGCTTGCCGATCAGAAGGTCGGCAGTTCGAATCCCCGCGACGGGGTGAGCTCCCGTTGCTCGGTCCTTCCTCCTGCCAACCTAGCAGTTCGAAAGCACGTCAAAGTGCAAGTAGATAAATAGGTACCGCTCTAGCAGGAAGGTAAACAGCGTTTCCGTGCGCTGCTCTGGTTTGCCAGAAGTGGCTTAGTCATGCTGGCCACATGACCTGGAAGCTGTACGCTGGCTCCCTCGGCCAATAAAGCGAGATGAGCGCCGCAACCCCAGAGTCAGCCACAACTGGACCTAATGGTCAGGGGTCCCTTTACCTTTACCTATATAATGTTAGATTGATCATAATTACTATGGACCAAATTTTCTTGATCCATTCAGCTATAGGAGAGATGCTTTCCCCCCACCCCTTTTTAGCTATTATAACCTTAGCAGCAGTTATAAGGCTGAACACTATTTCTTGATAGTTTTCTATCAAGAATAGCATCTTTTAGATAGCCAAGCAGAAATATTCAACCTGAAATATACTTTAAATGCATGGTGTGAACACAACCTATGTTCCGAGATCTAGAAGTACAGTGGTACCTCAGGTTAAGTACTTAATTCATTCCGGAAGTCCGTACTTAACCTGAAACTGTTCTTAACCTGAAGCACCACTTTAGCTAATAGGGCCTCCTGCTGCCGCCGCACCGCCGGAGCACGATTTCTGTTCTCATCCTGAAGCAAAGTTCTTAACCTGAGGTACTATTTCTGTTTTAGTGGAGTCTGTAACCTGAAGCATCTGTAACCTGAAGCGTATGTAACCCGAGGTACCACTGTATTTTGCCATAAACAAGGAATCTCTAAATAGGTGATTGTGCTGTATTGTAGATAATAATTCGAAAAGAATTTCCCCTTCCTTTCAAGTGGACAGCACTGTTGATCTGGTAGGGCTGCTGGGGGTGGGGAGGGCGCAGGGAGAGATGGCTGAAGTTGCTTTGTGAGTCAGGTCTGGCAGAAGGTCACAAGCATCCATCCTTCTTTTATGATATCAAACTAGCGCGCTTGCCAATCCAACCCACTCCAGGCCTGTATGTGCTGATGCAGCAGTCTTCCCCATCAGGCTAACAGGCTTGGTTTCAATCAATATCTCCTGCTCTGGTTCATCTGAACTTTCTGTTAGATCCTGCCACTTCTATCATGCACAGATCATATCAGAGTGACAACTGTGAAAAACGCTTGGCTGTTGCTTTAATGATAATGAAATGTGGTGTGAGATCTAGCTAAACTAGAGGAAGTTTCTGCCATCTGGTGGTGAACTGAAAGACCAAAAGGCCTGAACGTTTATGTCTTATTGACATTTGCCTGAATTGTTCCACCTTGCCCCAAAGAAGGGTAATGATGCATCATGGGAGACCCTCCGAGTGTCCCTAATTTCCAGGGACGGTCCCGGCTTTACCAGAAGCAGTCTTGGTTTTTGATTTGATCCCAGAATGTCCCACTTTTCCTTAGGATGCTTCTGTTTTCATCGGAGAAATGTTGGAGTGTCTGAAGTTATGGAGTTATGTGACCCCACACACACGCCGGCCAGCCAAAGAGATAACTATACAGCCTTTAGAAGACATCTGAAGGCAGCCCTGTATAGGGAAGTTTTTTTAAATGTTTATTATGTTTTTATATATGTTGGAAGCCGCCCAGAGTGGATGGGGCAACCCAGTCAGATGAGTGAGATGATAATAATAATAATAATAATAATAATAATAATAATAATAATAATATGATGATGATGATGATGATGGATGATGGGATGATGATGGAATAGGACATCCCTGTTTTCATCAGAGAAATGCTGGAGGATACATAACGGGGTGTTTGCTTATACATTTGTTTAGTCCAATGTCTGCCAGATCTATATCTCTCACTGTGGTGGCAACAAGTTCCCTATGTGTGAAATTATGGCCAAGCCTGGCGATCATTTTAGTTTTATTTCCTTGCTGTGATGCTGTGGCCACAGTGCAGGGCTTCTCTTAAGTAAGACTTTACAGGTGAAGGGGTTACACAAGTCTTTTCAACCCATCTTCGTATGCAAAATTCAGAGTACAGGCCAAATGGGGCTACCCATTTCATACCCTCCATCATTTCTCTGATGCAAATATGAACATCCTATTCCATACCTTCCAATATTTCTCTGATAAAAATAGAATATCCTAAGGAAAAGCAGGACATTCTGGGATCAAGTCAGATACCAGAATGGCTTCTGTAAATCTGGCACTGTTCCTGAAAAATAAGGACACTTGGAAGGGCTGATTTAGTAGTCCTGTGAGATGCAGTTCATGACTCTTGCCCAGGAAGGCAACACCTAAACACAGCAGAAAGCAAGGCAGAAGTTTCTACAAGCCATCATGTCAGTGCATAGACTACAATGCTAGGTGTGGTTGCCAGTTCCTCTCTCAGTTTGAGGACTCTGCAGTAGCTGATCACACTTTTGGTTAGGAACAACAGCTTCTTTTTCTTGATGTGGTATAAGACTGACATTAGTCCAAAGAGACTTATGAGATGCAGTAGAGAAGATTGGGGGGGGGGTTATCAAAGCTGTGCAGCTCCAACAAGGCTTAGATTCCAGATAGGTTACATGATAGGGCATGGCAGGAGACAAGCAAAATGAAGAAAAGTCACTATTCTTTCTCAAACTTGATTTAAAAGGAAAATGCCAAACTGACTCCCACAATCTGATAGCTGTATTTATAACAACAGAAACATTCCATCCAGCTGACATTGAAGTGAGACAGTCAAGCCATTCCCCCCAACTCATAACCTGCAACAGCCCATTTTGTCTGGGGCAGCCATGATTTCCATAAAGGCACCCTGGTTCTTCTTGATCCTGGGGTGCCCTGATTTTCCCTGGCCAGCAGATAGGGGCCAAGGCAGCGGCATTGGGGAGGAAGCTTGAGAGTTCATTTTGTGGCAATCCTATTCTGAGCTAGGGCTTAGTGTGTGCGCTCTCCCTCTCCCTCTCTCTCTCTCTCTCTCTCTCTCTCTCTCTCTCACACACACACACACACACACACACACACCCTCTGTTTTTGGTCCTGGGAAGCAATAATGAACTGCTAAGGATGTGTTAAAATGTAAAAAAAAAAAAAGTAGTATAAACACCAATAACTGGGAAACACAGGCCTGCGAGGAGAATAGCCTTTACCAAAGGTGTCATGGGCTTTGAAGACACTCGAACTCAGGACGAACGGAAGAAATGTGCTAAGAGGAAGATACGCTTGGCAAACCCTCGCCGTGATCAACTGCCGCCTATGTCCCCACTGTGGAAGGATGTGTGGATCCAGAATTGGCCTCCACAGTCACTTACGAACTCACTGTTAAAACTGTGTTCATGGAAGACAATCTTACTCGGCTACAAGTGATTGCCAAAGAAGAAGAAGAAGGATCTCAGAATCTAACTTGGAATGAAAATCAATATCCAGATACAGCAATTTGGTACTTTTCATTTATTTCCCCTATTTATAGTTCATCCTATGTTGCAATCATCCCAGGGTGGGAATACAACAGCATTCAGTGTAAAACAAAAATTCAAACAGAATATGCACAAGAACAGATAAAACCAACAAATTAGATAATAATATACAATGCCACATGCCAACATTTTAAAAAAGCTAGTTCAAGGATTAGAGCCATTAGCCACATCCCTAATGAGCCTGGCATAGATTCTATTTTCATATGCCTTCTATATCTCCCCCAAGTAGTGGGTTGATCTTCACACTTAAGTTTCATAGCAGAGGCATCCTACCTATACTTTAGCCTCAGAGCTGGGCTCTCGCTTTCCACAATTTCAGGATCAGTAACAATTTCTTCCTTGGAAGTGACTCTTTCCCTGAATCTCCAGAAATATTTTTCACCAAGAACAAGCATTCCACTTAAGAGCTGTGAACCTGCAGCAATGAACCCCACATAAATAGCAGCTCCAACACATTGCTCTTTTGGAACGAGAAGCAATCCCAAAACGTCAGGGAGCTTCATTCCTTCCTTTGCTAGGATGGAATACATATTCCAGGAAACAGAAATGAGCACAAATGTTCCTGCAGCTAAGTCCAGAATGACTCCAATGGACAAAAGGTAAATCTCCATGTTTTCCAGGCTTGAAACGTTATATAATGGAAAGGCCATTCAAAACACGGTCACCGCATTCACAATGGAGGCTAATGGCATGAAGTCCTGAGCAATAACTATTTCAGAGGGAAGGGACTCATCATCAGGTAATGCTGTGCACAAAACATTTATCTTCTTAATAGAAACTCTATGAGCAGAACAAGCAACCCAGAGCCCAACCCCTGCAAGGCCAGGTCTGCTGCCGCCCATGATGTTGTCAACATGCCACATTCTCCACTGGACACCGGCTGTGGAACAGATGCACATAACACAGCCAAAAAGAGCCAAGACAAAGGCACCTACCTGGAAGCAAGACGCCCTGCACAGCCACCGTACAGGAAGGGAGCCATAATCTGCCTGGGGCGGTGCTTGAGTACAGGCAAGGCAGGCAACTGAAGGCATGCTGGAGAAAAACAAAGACAAAAGACAAGTTAGATACTCAGGTACAATGTCTTATGGACATCCCCTAAAGTCTGAGCAAATAGTGATGCTGCAGCCAAAACAATGCCATGATTCTAGGGCAAATTCTACATTTCCCACCTTGAGACGTAGGAAGGGGAAAGTCTGCTGCATCTGCAATCACAGGTGCCAGGAATCACACTTCCTCAGTTTTTCAGTGAAGCTTAGGCACATGGACTAGTGTGGGGCCAAAGCCCTTTCTGCCTAGAGGTTTATGCGCCTAGCCTTTCTCCCCGCAGATGTAGACACTTTGCTCAGACACCTGAGGCAGAAAAAAACTGCACGACTTCACAACCTTTTTGTTGCACAGACCCCCTTCATGCAGGTAAGGGGGGTTTTGTCTAATCCTCTCCCCTCTGCATCTTATTTTCCCTTCCCTGTCCATTATTCAGACAGGACAAAAGGAAATTAAAGTCAACTCGTTCTTATCTAATGAAACACTGCTATGTTGGTGGACCACTGAATATATGTACCTACATGATATTGGTTCTTCAACCACTCTCTGGTACGCAAGGACTTTTTCCAGGTCTTTCTTACGTGTGTCTGACCTCAGAGAAGACCTGAGAAGACTGAAGCTGGTCTGAGCTGGTCACTGAAGCAACTGCCCCTTGGAGTTCTGAGGCAGTTAGAATGCAGCTTGCTTTGAATGCTCAGAACAACACAAATCATAACTCCAGGGTACTGGTCGTTCGGAACATCTGGCAACTGGAACTTTCAGGGAACTCCATTTTCTCCTTTACCAAGACAGACTGTATATTCAGAGAAAGTGGAATTTTATTTATTTCAACACTATCTACATGAAAAATACATTTTTGAATGGGAAGACTCTTATATAACTAGTGGGAACTGACCATCTAACCCAGGGATGGGGAGCCTGTGGCTTACCAAATTTTATTGAACTACAAATCCCATCATAATTGACCACTCCCTGTCTATGCTGGCTGAAGTTGATGGGAACAGGACATGAACATCTTCTGGAGAGCTACAGGTTCCCCAACCCTGATCTAGTCCAGTATTTTGACTGGATTTTAGGCAGAAATATTTTCCATCACCAGATCCTTGTAATCTGAAGATACCAGGGTCCAAACCTGGGATCTTCGGCATGCAGACCCCACCAATTAATGAAGAGGCCAAAACTGCATGTTTTTGTATTTCATTACCACTGGGTCCTATTTTGGATATTCTCTGTTTTTAATGGCATTTTTATCAGGACATTTTATCCTCACAAATAATGGATTAGGCTGAGGATTTGAAACTGGGTTTTCCTCAGCCTTAGTCCAAAACACTAACTACGGTAACCACTGCAACAGGCAGCCAATGAAATGGGCTATAGACCAAGGAAATATATACTGCAATAAATGTTGATTTGCTTTACTATACCAAGAGCCACTTTGTTGTTAAAGCCTCTTTGTGCTTTAAACACTGCTTACGGTATTTCATCAAACACATGACTCGTCACACCTACAATTCCCAAGAGACACACCCGTTGGATTTCTGCCTGTCTCACCACGGCTAAGGAGTTCCAGAATGGCACCTGGTATTTTATTTGTTACTACATTTACATCTCACATTTCCTTCAAGGAGCTCAATGCGGCATGCATGGGTTCTGCCCAATCCACATTTTAATTTCACAAGAACCCTGTGAGGTAGGCTAGGCTGAAAGACAATGAATGGCCTAAGGTTACCCAGTGAGCTTCACAGGGGTCACAGCAAAGCAGTTGCTGAAAGGCAGCGAGCTGCAAATGTGCCATCGGTAATAACTTAAAAAGATAGAATAAAACTTAACCAGCTAAGCATCACATAGCCTGTTAGAGCCTGGTGTGCCATATCCGCCTGCCCTCCCATTAAAGATAATAATAAATACCAGAAGCCTCACAAAAAGAACCCATCCCGCCCCAAACGTGTCAGCAAAGCCTTGCAAGAAAAAAGGGAATTAAAGTGGGAAGCTCCCTTTGCAGGGATCCCTTCCTCCATCCTTGGCATACCAGGGGAAGGCAGCCATCTTGTCTCCCCTCACATAACTCTCTACCTCTCTACCCCCCCCCCCCCGCTGCCTTTCAGGCCTCTCAGCACTTCCTCTCCCAGGCGGCCATGATTGAGAAGGGCAAGTGCTAGGACAGCCGGAGGCTTCGCTGCCACCAGGACACATGGCATCGTTTCATTTTGTTGTTGCATTTCTATGTGCCCCGAGTGTCATTCTGAAGGGGGGGTGACATGCAGTGCCCCCACCCCACCCACGACTTGAGTCCCAAGCCTACAGCGAGCAGCTTTGCCGCCGCTTTGCCGCTCGCTATAGGCTTGGGACTCGAGTTGCGAGGGGGGGCGCAACAAATGTCACCCCCCCTTCAAGATGGCATCCGGGGCAGACCGCTCCCACCTTCAAGCGCCCCTGACTGGGGGCTGCTACATCATACTCATCTGGGAACACCCCAATGTAGCCCTGCATTGAGGCTGAATTCCTAACTCCACTTACCTGAGAATAAGTCACAATGTAGTCAATAGGGCATGCCTCTAGGATTGTGCTGAAAAAGTGAGGTCAAACCAGGCAGTTTTTTAAAATAATAATAATAATAACAATAATAATAATTTTATTTGATTTTACAAGTGTAGAGTTACAACAATACAAAATGCATATCCACATTTAGAAATTTCTCTGAATCTCTAGACTTCCCACCTCCCTCCCCCACATGGGCCCTATTATAAACCTTTTCAACGGCATATTATTTCATTATCCAAATTTTATGTCTCTCCATTTTGTCCATAATATCTTCTACATTACAAGTGTTACTGTAATCCTGCTGATGTGTTCATCTGCTTACAGTGGTCTCTCAAGTAAATTATAATTCCCCCCCCTTCCTTTATTGAACTTTCGGTCTTCTTTGTTCCTGAGCTTTCCAGTCAGTTTTGCCATTTCGGCATAGTTCAACAGCTTAGTTTGCCATTCTTCTCTGGTAGGGACTTTGTCTTCTTTCCATCTCTGGGCTAGTAACATCCGTGCAGCTGTTGTTGCATACATAAAAAGTCTTTTCTGCTCCTTTGGGATCTCGGTACCTACACTTCCTAATAAAAAAGCTTCTGCAAACCAGGCAGTTCTTTTCCAGCAGGAGGAACCCTTCCTCCTTCTAGAACATTCTGTACCTACTTTTTCCATGTGCCCCGTTCACGCCTGAAAAGCCTGTGAGCTGCAAATGGAGCTCTCCCCAAACAATAACTAGCTGGTCCATTTCAAGCAGCACACAGGAAGCCTAGAATCATAGAACTGTAGAGTTGGAAGGGACCCTGAGGGTCATCAAGTCCAACCCCCTGCAAATGCAAGAATATGCAGTTGTCCCATACGGGGATTGAACCTGCAACCTTGGCCTTATCAGCACCATGCTCCAGCATGCTGAGCTATCCAGAAGGAGACCTCCCCATTCACAAGTCTACTCCATTATGATCTTATTTACATGTGGTGGTTGCCAATTAAAGATTGGAAGCAATGTATTCTCGTGGTTAGAGTGCTGGATCTGGGAGACTCAAATTCCCACTCAACTAGGAAACCCCCACTCAACTAGGAAGTGACCCCAAGCCAGTCACAGTGTCTTAGCCTAACATACTTCGCAGGGTTGTTCTGAGGATAAAATGAGGAAGCCAGAACCCTTGAGCTCCTTGAAGGAAAGATCCAATATAAATGCAACAATTTATTTTTTTAAAAAAGTATGGGCTATTAGTCACCTAGTATAGATGGAATTTATTATTATCTTCAAGATATTTTCATGAAGGAAGAATGGACAGCACAACAGGTGCTGGGACTTTGGCTAATTGTTTGCCTCAGTGTTGTTTCATGTGCACCACTTCCAGTCTTCTTTGCACCTTGGCTGCTTGTACAAATAAAAAGATCTGTAAGGTAGCCATTGTTTGACCTGCATGTTCAAAACAGCAGCATTTTTCTAACCTCTGTTGAGGAATAGCCTCTTTTCACAGCACTCAGCAAAACGATGAAGGGAGAAACAGATTGTTGCTCTGTTTGCTGAAAGCTGCAGCCATACAATAGCCTTCTCGCAACAAAATATGAAGCTGTGATTGAAAGCAGGAGGCTTTCCTATCAAAACGATCTGTCGAGCTACAGATTTCCTTGATGTTTGTTTTGTGAAGGAGCGCATTTGCTTTGAGAGTTTTTCGAGATCTATCTAAAGCTCTGAAATGATACAATTCACTCTAGACATTACATCTCATTTTTGGATCCTATATTACTATGGTAAAAGGGGGCATTGTTCCAAGTAATTTTCTATAGGCCACGGTTGCGGTAGATCCAGGAAGTTCTCCCTCTCTTCTCCCTGCAGTTGTGAGGGTAATTGCATGTGAGGAAAATTGCCTCAAGCAGACTACAGTGGTACCTCAGGTTAAGAACTTAATTCGTTCTGGAGGTCCGTTCTTAACCTGAAACTGTTCTTAACCTGAGGTCCCACTTTAGCTAATGGGGCTTCCCGCTGCTGCCATGCCGCCACCGCACAATTTCTGTTCTCATCCTGAAGCAAAGTTCTTAACCCGAGGTACTATTTCTGGGTTAGTGGAGTCTGTAACCTGAAGCGTCTGTAACCTGAAGCGTCTGTAACCTGAGGTACCACTGTATTCTCTGTCTTACCACAAAGCACTTGAGAAAGCAGCAAGTGTGTGTTCAAACAATGCCCTCCCCACTTAATATGCAACCTCTCTTCATCGCCCTGCAGTTACTTAAATCCATGTGTCATGCCCCAACCTAAAAACACTTGGAGCCAACGTCATTATGTGCAGTGTCAACAGAGCAACAGAAGGATAGGGGAGCAAGTGGTATATTTACTGGCTGTGGTGTTGGAACTGCTTCTCAGGGGCTTCCTTGCCCATCATTCCAGGATTATGCGCATGAAGGATGTCCATGGGGGAAAGAAGCCTTTCACTGGTCCTGCCAGCATAAATGCAATATTGGAGTTGCGAAAGAAGTAATGGGTTGGAGGCTCTCATCTCAGTGATGTTTGTTTCATTTATATCCTACGTTGCTCTCCAAGCAGTTCAAGGCTGCATACATGGTTCTCCCCCTGCTCATGCAATTCCCCAAAACAACCCTATAAGGTAGGTTAGACGGAGAGGTAGTGACTGGCCCAAGGTCACCCAATGAGTTTCATGGCCAAGTGGAGATTTGAACCCTGGTCTCCCAGGTCCTAGTCCATCACTCTAACCACTACACCACACTGGTTCTTGTTAAGTATGAATTGGAGCAGGTTTAATATACTAAAAGGAAGGAATTATGATATTCTATACAAATAAATCCAGATATGCCTATACTGTAGTTTATCTGAGTCTTTTCAACTGCTACCTTCCCCCCACCCAAATTTCCCCAAACCTAACCTCGACTGTGAAAATACAGTAAGAGGAAATTGGTGTGTTTATTCGTTTAAACATAAAAACTTTACTAAGGCAAGAGAAGTCCTAAAGTTCAAATAGTTAGCAGCAATGAAATAATGATCAGCTTCAATGACGGAATGTGCAGCCACGCAATTTGTCTTGTGATGGGCTTGCGGGGGTAGCAGGAAGTCCCTGCTGAAAATCTGCAGGAACAGGAGCTCTGCCTTCTCTCGCACTGGGTCACTCTATGATCAATGCATTAAAGAGTGGAGGAAATTGCTCAAAGGAAGGTGGGAGTTAAAAATACAGCCTTTTTTAAAAAAATGAAGCTAGATTTGCTACACATCCTGTGTCTGGGTCTTAGCAATGTGACTGCTGTTTTCATTTCAATATTTCTGAGCAATATTGAAATACTGAGGGAAGGGGAAATGAAGATATTGGTGTCAATAAAACCTGCATTGCTTTCTCTCTCTCTCTCTTTTAATGCCTCAATAGACGAGTGAAAATGTCATTAAGGTTTAAAAGCAGATAAGTGATATTCTAAGCTGCAAGAGGGAATAGATAATTTAGAGCGAGCACCAAGCAATCTCCTTGTTCACTCCCAAATCTTCCATGTAGCATGTCTAATAGGATTAACTCTAATTGCTTCCAGAATCAACCTGAAACTGCAGCACAGAAAGCTTTCAGGCTGGAATGAAGCCACCAGGCTACTTATCTGATCTCAAACGCTCCAGCTCACCCACACAGACACAGACAAGTGTTTATCACTTCTTTCAGTTATACAGAGGTGGTGGGCGTTATCGTCATGATCCCAAAGCAATGTGTGTCCAGAATTTGTTGCAGTTTCCTTTCCAGTTCCTGCCGCTACTGATCCCAAACATGCACAGGTATACTCCTAGGATTTTAAACCAAGATTTAGTACTGGATCAGTTGGAAGGGAATCCCAGAGGAAATTTGGCCCGATGGCAGAAATGTGTTTTGCAGCAAAAGGCCAAAGCAGTTGGTATTCAGCAAGGAAGGCTTCTCTGATGGTGAGGTGTCAACTACTAGTGTGAAATAGCCGAGCAGCTGCAGCGATGCACTAGTATTATTATAAATATATGGGATGTTGTGACACTAATAAATCATGGGCAAGGGGTATGGAGAGTGGGGAGAGCAAAACAAGAGGCATTGTTGTGTACGGTAGATAGGAACAGCCTATGGATATGGTGTTGAGATGGCTCGATAGATGATGGTCATATGTCCACCTGGGTTCTTGCCAACCTCTGCAGATAATATGTCTTGGCTAGAAATGTTACATTTCTCTGAGAGGCCTGCCCAGTTCACTCTGTGGATGAATTGTGGGGGAAACGGCAAACGTACCAATTGTAAGACAAAAGGTATATTTAATTCCCAACATTATTTGAACCACAGTCTCTCCCCAAAGGGAAACAGAGCAACCATACATGTATGTTCTTTGAAATGGGGCAAATAGCCAGATGGAGTTGTTTTAGATTGGGAATATGGCATGGTTTGGATTCTTGGTGTAGAAAATAATGAACTAGATGGACCAATGGTGTGATTCACTACAAGGCAGCTTCCTATGTTCCTCACTGTATCAAATTGTGTTGAGGTTCCCACAGTTATGCACACTGTACAGTGGATAAAAACATGAGATCAGTGGGGACAAGA